GACAGCCATCAGACCATGTGGGGAACATTCCCCTGTCAGGTCTTGCACAATACCTAACAATTAGCATTGATGGACCCCCTCCTTCTGCTGAAGACACATCCACACTGCTAGGCATCAGCTTCTACTGGACTCCTTCCTATGCTATACCATGTGCTGGGTCACAGTCTCTACTGCTAGTTACTGGGCCATGCTGGACATAACCCCTGTCCAAACCACAGTGCATATAAAGTGCTGTGTGTCAGGTTCACTTGAGCACCAGGCTCCATCACATGGGACATGCTAGGTACCAGACAATGTTGACACACACCCTTAACCCCGATATGCATTACTGACCCAGTGATCATTGCAATTTCAAGGCTCTTCTAGACACCTCCATCACTGACATATCAAGTTTCTTGCTATCAGACACTACCACTTTGTGCAGATTTCAGTCATGTATATTGAAGTATATTGTATGCATATACAATAATTGTCTTCAAGTCTTACCCAACATAGCACCATTCTATTGACAACATACACTACCAGACAGGGGCATGGGTCTAAGCACAGCTGAAAATTAGCAGGGCTATTGTGGCAGCAGGATGGGTGTAGGAAGAGAAACTTATTAGATGAGGCCTGTTATCCTGCACAACATCCGGGTTAGGACCGGGGAGTCCTGAGGATGTGATACACAGTAGGGCATCCAGGCCTCAGGCAGGTGTGCAGCAAAGCCTGAAACAAAGCAGTGTGTTTCAGGCTATATGGCAGGGGTAGGAGTGTCCAGCCGGGCCTGGTAACTAGTGATACATAGGTGGGTTTGGCACCAGGACTAGGGGGGGCAGTAGATAGTAATTCCTGTCATGGGGCAGTTCCTGATAGTGGGATGAGTCTGTGTGAGAAGCAGGGGGATGCTCTGCAGTGTGTCTTATGAACACAATGGTGTATGTTTGGTGGCAGCAGTTGGGACCTGTCTGGATTCCTTAGGACATGACACCTAGCAGGCTATGTAGGATTTCCAGCCATGCCTGTTCAATAGTAATATATGTGGAGCAGTGGTGAAGATGATGATGTTATAAAGAAAAGTGTGTGTGTGTGTGTGTGTGTGTGTGTGTGTGTGTGTGTGTGTGTGCTTGAACTTGTGGTGAGTGGTCAGAGAGTGTGGTGTATTGTCATGGGGATTGCTGTCTTAGAGAAAATGAGTCAGTGACTAGGCAAATAGAAGCCCAGGGTCAGTATATTATTAATGAAGTTGATCAGAGAAAGTATCTTCAAGAAATGGATTTGAGAGATTTGGAAGAGTAAGGGTAGAAAACAAGAAATGTGAGGCTTGATGAATACAGGCCTGGGGGAGGAATTTGACTTTATTTTTACTGTACCAAGAAGCCATGTTTTTTCTTTGCCAACAACACTAGGTATCATCATCTCTAAGGTGTCCTCACACTTAAAACCCACCCCCACGTTGCTAGGTATCAGCTTCTACTCTGAAAAATGTCTTCTACAGCAGATGCCAATCACAGCTGCCTAGGTGTGAGGTCCTGCTAGGTCAACTGTCTACTAAAGAAAATGCTCCTCTCATAGAGTTGGGTAGCTTGTCCTCCACGAGATCAACAATGCAATGGCTAAAGCCCCATTCACAGGGCTGGATATCTGGTGTTTCTAAGGATCCCCTTACCTACAGCAGCAGAAGCCATAAACAGATGCCCACTTACTATAACACAAGTGTCAGGGGCCAGTATTTATCTCTTCCCATAGAAGCACATATACATACATGGTTAGGTCACATTCCTGATAGGAATCACCTCAGCTGCATCAGAGCTAGGCGTCAGATCCTGCTGGGCACCTCTTCCCCTACATCCAAAAGACCACACAGTTACACAGCTAGTCTTCTAGTACTGGTACCCCTCCCCTATATCAAATGCCTTGTACACAGCCCCACACTCACAAACACACTCAGACACACATGCTTGTATGATCCCATGCACGTGCTCATGCACTCTCATCTAGCTGTCATGTCAACAAGGTCTCCCCCATCCAGCCAAAGCCCTATTTACACACAGCTGTCAAAGTGCTGCCCTTCTGGGTGTCCATCCCCTGCAGCCAAACACATACACAGAGAGCAACAGATAGACAGACAGAGACAAAGAGATAGAAACAGAGAGACACAGAGTCCGAGATCAGGTCCTGCTTTTCACACTCTACAACAGACAAAGCTGTCTACTCAGGGCTAGGTGTCAGGTCCTGATAGCTACCTCTGTTCCTATATTCAAAGTGCAATATTCTTTCACATCTAGTTTACCAGTATGCACCCCCTCCCCTATAATCAAATGCTAGGTACACACTCACACACTCAGAAACACACTCAGGCATGCATGCCCCTACAAATGCCTTCACAAACTCAATGCACTCTCAGCTAGCTATCAGGTCCTAGAAGATAGCCACCATATAAGGAAAACCCCACATATACTTCCAGGTGTTAAGTCCTGTGAGGTATAGGTATCACCCATACAAAAAACAACCCCACATACACCTCTAGGTGTTAGGTCCTTTGAGGTGTCACACATAGAGCCAAAGCCCTATTTACACACAGCCAACAAGGTGCTTCTGCTGCTAGGTGTCCATTACCTACAGCCAATCTCTCTCTCTC